CCCTATTCCCAATTAGCAAAGCAGCTGAAAATGAATTTTCCGCACCAGGTGGAAATCTTCGTGGCAACTTAGTCCACCCCCCACCCATGACCAGAAATTTGACCATGTTTTCCGGGACTGACAGACGTTGTACGTTTCAATTATTTGTTGGCCCTCTCACGCGAGATGCTCCAAAATGCGAAATTCCTCAACAACAACATCAAGAACAACAACAACTGACCGTGCCCCAATAAATCATTTGATTTGTACACTTGCCCGCGGGTAAAGGTGGGAGGACCTGCTACTTTTTTTCGTATATTTTGTCAGGGTGGGGGTTATGGTTTGGATAGGGGGAGGTCAGCACGTGGTGTGCGTGCCTTCCGGTGCTAAATCAAGGCTAGCATTTTCAAATTGTCTTACCTTTTGGGGTAAAATAAACCCCCCACTCCTCTGCTTAACCCACGCCCCTGTGTGATGGAAACAACTGTAGTTAATATTTATGGCGATTTAATCTTCTCACTTGAACGCTGCTCAGTTAAGTTTGATAGAGACGAACCCAAGGGGTCAAGCTAGATGGGGGAGTAGACCTCTCATTCTACACAGAAAAAAATATAGGCTGTTCCTAAGCTTGGAAAGAGAAAAAGTAGGTCTAGGACCAATGAACAATGATCCTTTCTTCGAAAAAAGAGAATTCTTTTTAAAAAATGTGGCAAAAATACATAGAAGTTAGATAATATTGAAACAGAAAATATTAAAATTAGAAAACAGTCATAGAAACTCATAAACGGACCTAAAGTATTTCTTCTATAGATCTAAATTGTTTTAAAGATATATATAAAATGTGTAACACTAAAAAAATCTCAAGCCTTCTCAAAAACTTTGTCTTAAAATGTAAGAAACGGGTACAAAGGTGACTTCCAACCAGAATTTCATACCTCAGATCGACAAAGACTTAAAACTATAAACCCCTTTTTAACTCCCTCTAAGTTTATTTTTTCTAAGTGTAACTGACCCTTTTTTTTTTTTTTGACCGAAGCAGCTGATCCATGGAGCAGCTTTTCCAGTACACGGTTTGTTTTGCGTGTCCATTTAATTTCCGCCTGGAATTGCTTAATCAAACACAGCACTACGGATAAGTTCATCCCTGCCTCCATCCTACATCCCCCCCTCCTGATCCTTCTCTGCAGGAATCGTCGTCTAACCCCCTCTCCAGATATTTTCCGGTGAAATCCGCATCCCCTCAGATTCTGGACTCTGGACAAATCGTTTGAGTTTCATATGGACCAACGCCAAAGTTGGCTTAATGAGTAGTTTAGCTCATGTTTCCATTGCCATTTAGAGGGTGTTGGTATGTGTGTGTGTGTGATAGTGTGTGTGAGGGTTAAGGAAACAGCCATGTGCATTAGCAACAAATTGTTATTGTTGCCAGACCAAAGGCGATAAGCAAAAAGTTAAAGTTACTTTTTTCAGGGGGGGAGTTGGCAAGAAAAACAAGATAAAGAAGGGAGGTTGGGACGAAGCCAAAGTCACCCAAAAGATTATTAAGAAATGAAGAGTTTTATTATAAATATAGAATATATTCAAAAGTTAAGATTTTGTAATAATATACAAAAATTTAAACATTTTCCTAATACGTTCAAGTCCTTAGATTTCATCAGGTCTTTTGTATATTTAAGTGAGGGTTGTTGATAGGACTCACTCCCCTTTCCATTTATCTGGTTGATCACATAATCCACCAACTCTCAGCAACCCAAACCCAGACCCAGATCCACTGATGTAGCAAATCGATGCGGACTTTAAGGCTGTAATTTAAATTAATGACACACAACAAACGATTCAGAAACAACGCCCACCGAAACTCTCGGCTCTCTGAACTTCCACAATGTCATCTGACTTTATTTTCAATTAAACAAATAGCTGAATTTGACATTTTTCGTTGTCTTTTGTCAAACAAAACGGAGAAAAAAAGAGAAAATTCAACTAAAGGCAGTAAAAGTTCAAAGGACACATCATAATGGGAAATAACAAGTCGATGATGGAAAAACGAAAACGCGATAAGAGCGCTGACAGAGCGCCAACCCAACTCCTCCTTTTCTGCTACGTCACTGAAGGACTTCTTATCAGAAAAAGAAAAAAAAAACAAAACAAACAAGGAAGAAAGGAACGAAAAAAAAAAGCCTAGGAAAAATGTTTGCTTTTGGCCATATCTCTACCCCATTTGCCAAAGCGCTTTCTGCAAAGTATTTTTCCTCTAAGGCGATTACTGGGATTCCGGGAAAATGCTGAAAAATGAACACATTGCAGTGCATTTTCATTCATGATTCAATTAACCACAGACGAGTGAACTTTAATGGGTAAATCGTCGAGTAAACTTCTTAAAAAAAATCAAAGCTTTAAACTTATTCTTAAAAAAAAAATCAAAATCTCAAGCCCTGATCTGAAAACATCTCAACCATAACGAAAAATTGTAGCAAATCTCTGTTAAGATCAAGCCCGAAATCTTTTCAAATCTTCAAGAATCTTCACAAATCCCAAGTCTAGGTAACAAAAAAAAAAAAACGAGTACAAACATCGGTTACCTGGGTACAGTCACCTGTCAGTGTTGTCAGTGTCAGATGCATTGTAAATTACAAGTTCATTTGCGAGTGGCATTACATCCGCTTATGCGGCTCAAGTTGCATAAATTACGAGCAAAAAAAAAACAAAAAAAAAATTGGAGAAAGAACACCACAGAGAAACAGAGAAGAGAAGAAGTGGGGCGGTGAAGCGGTGGAGAGGGCTAATGAAACATAATGAGGCGCCATTAGCGAGTGTCGCTAACTGTGCATTATGCACTTTTGGGCGCCAGTCAAGCGCAGAAACAGTGTGGCCAAAGCCTCTTTTAAAGCTAGCAAATATGGTCACATTATTAAAACCATAAAATGATCATTAAATATTAAAAAAACAGAAGGAGAAGAGTATAAACTGAATAGGTTGTAGTCTTAATTCTCAAATAGTGTGGCTATGCTTTTTTTTCTTAAGTTTTTAAAGATGTTCAAAAGTGTGACCCTACCCTCAGTTAAACCCTACGAAAATATGGCCACTTTAATCAGCAATAAAAACTACTTTTAAAACTACTAGTATACAACAAACTAATGAATGATTTACGCCGCAAGCATCATTAACATCTCGCAGCTTCACTTTTCACGCTTTTATTTGATTAGTTCATCATTTATTATTATTAATTAATGGTATTTCTTGAGTGACTGCCTGCTTATTATTAAGCATTATTAAACACATCCAACAATAACAAATTCGCTGTGATTATCATCATAATTGCGGATACAGAAATTCAATTTGTAGCATCTTGTATCTCGGTTCTGTTCGATGGGAAATCCTAACAAACAAACCTCATAATAAGACGAAAACCAGTTTTCTATTTTTTTTTCAATTTCTAATTTTTGCTTTTCGGGTTCAACTGCAATAATGATGCGGCAGAAACTATTTTTAAACAGCTTTTAATGCCAATTTATGGTATAATAATCAATAAGGAAAGTGAAGCGGATTAAATCATTTATAATATGACGAAATATTTATTTAATTTTTGTATTTCTTTAACCATCTTTAAAATTCATTAGAAAGGTTTGAAGTTTCTTAAACTTTTGCTACCGTTTTTCTGTTTATACCTTAAGGTAAAAAATATATGTTTGTATATAGATGTAAGATCTTAATCGTTTACTCTGCCCCATCATCATCTGTTCATCAACATCCACTGATCCCAATCAACATCATCATTATCTTCATTATCTCGACAGCCTCTCAAGTTTGTTTTTTGTAGTTTGTGTATTGTTTTTTTTATGGTTTATGGTTTTTTTCGTTTTTTTTTTTTGTTTAGAACTAAGCGGCAACTTTTGTTGTAATGGCCCTCAAGTGAGGGCATTTTTGGCTCCAAACACTCGAGCCCAAACACCGCGATTCGCGAACCGGAACTCCGCAAAAGTATTTTTCTCTTCACGGTTTTTTATTCTTTTCGGTTTGTTTTTTATCTCTTGATTTTTTTTTTAATGGCTAGCAGGCGCGTCGATCAAAAGATTTGAAGCAAATCCATAAAAAGGGAAAAGGGGTAGCAATAAAATGTAAGAAGGTACAAACTGTCTGGCATTTTTATTTCAAATTAATTGAAGTTTTTTTTAAAGAAAATGTGAACTAATTTCTTTGGTTTTTGGTTGTACATGATGCTTATTTTACAAACAACTAACCATATAACTTATAAAAAATCTATCTAGTTTTAGGATATTATCTCTTTTGAAAGATTTAAGCTAACTTTTCATTTTCTATATATTCCAAAGTAGATTTTTTTATAATTACTAGAATTTATAATGCTTATAAATGATGAAAGCCGTACAATATGCGCCTGTGCCACTGTACCTTTATGATGTTTTTTTATCTTCAAAAATAGATATAAATACCTAAGATATATGCTTAATTCCATAAATCCCTTCCACAAATCAAACCTCTCTAGCCAAAACTAGAGCTAGTTAGCCCCCTTTATGGTTTTGGCCCTGGCAACACCACTGGCCTGGCCAGCACGCTGCTGGCTGCCATAATTAGTTAAACCGCAGCATTTTGACCAAGTGCCAAGTGGCATGTAGTATGTAGCATGCACCACTCAGCGGGTTGCAGGCCACATTTGTGGCTATAGCTTTGGCCTCACCCACAAAAAAATCGAAAAAAAAATGAAAAAGCAAAGGAAGCCTTGAGCTCCAAGCTCCTCCTATTTTTTTTTTTTGTCAGTGATTGAGGGAGGGGATTGTTTGAAAAACTATTCCAAAAAATTGTTAGCTAGTGGCGTCTGCCTTTTGGCTAATTAAATGGCCAACAAAAACAAAACAAGAAGCAAAATAGCCAAGAAGAAGTTCAAGCCGAACAGAAAACAATTAAAAGCAAAAAGCATGCGAGTGTGAGTGGCATCAGGTCGTTTGTGGTTTTTGGCTATAAAACCAAAACGTTTTGCCAGATTCCCCATCAGTTGAGATCCGAACGCTACCAGATCAAGAATTCAAATCTCCTCCTATCATAGCTCTATTTTTTTTTTAGTTTATTGTGATCTGTGATTTTTTTTTTCTGTGAAAATAAGAAAATGCTGCGATCTTTGTTGACCGTTGCCGTGTTGCTTTTGGGCACGAATTCGGGCATTTTGGCCGGACGTCTTAGCCAGCGATATCTGCCAACTCCGCAGGCCAGTCAACTGCACTACCATGGCGTCAGTGGCCAAGGACATGCTCGTCCTGGGGCAGGACATGCCGTGGGCGGTGGATTCCAGCGCCAGCAGGCCCAGTCTCAGGTGCCGATCGTAAGGAGCGACTACCAGAGCGATGCCAATGGCAACTACAATTTTGGGTGAGTTTTTTTAGGTTTCTTAAAAATCCATTTTTAAAATCATCCATTATCCTTTTAGTTTCGATACTGGCAATGGAATCCACCGCGATGAAACCGGCGAGTTCCGCGGAGGCTGGCCCCATGGATCTCTGGGTGTACGAGGATCCTACTCCTATACCGGAGACGATGGTCAACAGTACACCGTGAACTATCATGCGGATAAGACCGGATTCCATGCCGAAGGAGCCCATCTGCCCACCTCCCCCTCAGTGCCAGCTGCCTCCCCAGTTGGGTAAGTCTATAATCCCATATAGTATTCCCAAAATATATTATCCCAATTTATTTCAGACGTAGCAACTATGGTGGAGCCTATAGGGGATCGGCTTCTTCCCATGTTGCTGCCCCAGCTCCTGCCACCAGATATTTGCCGCCAGGATATCGTCAGCGCAGGAACTACTAAGCGAAAATAGCCCAAAAAGAACTTAAATTATAACTAAATAAAAGAAACTCTTTTTTTTTGTGTAATGTAACTGAATTAAATAAAATAAAATAAATATTCTTGGAACTCATTGAACAAAATGTGTCCGTTTGATTATGAAATAAAATAAATATTGTATCAGGATTCAAATGCAGAATGACGCAGAATCGACCCACAAATCGTTTGAGGTACTCCGCTCAAGAATCGGATGAGAATTGGCTGAGATATAGCTATGGATGTGGGCCACATTCGAAAATCAAGCATTTTGAAGGGGACCCCCCACAAAAACATGAAAAATTTTTGAAAAATATTTTGTCTCAGGATTTTGATGCAGAATGACGGGGAATTCATCCACAAATCGTTTAAGATACTCCGCTCAAGAATCGGATGAGAATTGGCTGCGATATAGCTATGGATGTGGGCCACATACGAAAATCCAGCATTTTGAAGGGGACCCCCCACAAAAATATGAAAAATTTTGGAAAAATATTTTGTTGCAGGATTTTGATGCAGAATGACGGGGAATTCATCCACAAATCGTTTGAGGTACTCCGTTCAAGAATCGGATGAGAATTGGCTGAGATATAGCTATGGATGTGGGCCACATACGAAAATCCAGCATTTTGCAGGGGACCCCCCACAAAAATATGAAAAATTTTTGAAAAATATTTTGTGTCAGGATTTTGATGCAGAATGACGGGGAATTCATCCACAAATCGTTTGAGGTACTCCGCTCAAGAATCGGATGAGAATTGGCTGAGATATAGATATGGATCTGGGCCATATACGAAAATCCAGCATTTTGCAGGGGACCCCCCACAAAAATATGAAAAATTTTTGAAAAATATTTTGTGTCAGGATTTTGATGCAGAATGACGGGGAATTCATCCACAAATCGATTGAGGTACTCCGTTCAAGAATCGGATGAGAATTGGCTGAGATATAGCTATGGATGTGGGCCATATACGAAAATCCAGCATTTTGCAGGGGACCCCCCACAAAAATATGAAAAATTTTGGAAAAATATTTTGTTTCAGGATTTTGATGCAGAATGACGGGGAATTCATCCACAAATCGTTTAAGGTACTCCGCTCAAGAATCGGATGAGAATTGGCTGAGATATAGATATGGGTGTGGGCCATATACGAAAATCCAGCATTTTGAAGGGGACCCCCCACAAAAATATGAAAAATTTTGGAAAACTATTTTGTTGCAGGATTTTGATGCAGAATGACGCAAAATCGACCCACAAATCGTTTGAGGTACTCCGCTCAAGAATCGGATGAGAATTGGCTGAGATATAGCTATGGATGTGGGCCATATACGAAAATCCAGATACATGAAATGTATCTTTTAGATAAAAGTCCAGCTTTTTGAAGCCAATCCCTCACAAAAATTGGTTGCCCCACACCTAACGAACCACTCCAAAGTGTCAACGCATAAAAAAGGCTATAACCTTTTCGGTTAATACATTTTCCAGACCCCATTATCCATTAACAATTGCTAACCAGAAACGGCCTTTTATGGCTAATTTAAGTGAACAACTCTGGGAGCACGCCTTTAACCCCAAAAGAATACTTGGCCACGCCTTTCCGATGTTGTGTGGTCTCTTTGACTTTCTGGCCAACAAAAAAAAAAAAAAGCGAACTAAGTTGGTAAGACAAACACAAACACAGACACAGACCGAGACCCAGACAGGGGGATAAAGGCGCAGACCTTAAAACTGATTAAAATGCAGTTAAGCATTTTAAGTCTGCAATCAAAACAAGCTTTATCCTTTTTTCGCAACTTTTTTTGAAAAGTTTTTTTGTCATTGTTGAAAGGCATTAATCATAAGTCACAAGAAGATTACTTAAGGGGTTTGTTGAAAGCCTTAAGACTCTGGATGATACTCTATTTTTTGGAGATACTTTTCTTGAAAATATTATAAAATAGTTTCAAACGAAATATCAATTTTTAAACTGGCTGTACTTTTTAAAAAACTATCTTTAGAAAATCTTTCAAGAAAAGCCAATAAAAACTGTCAACTGTCAACCAATGAGCCCTTTTGGAAGAAAAATTTTTAAATGAAAATTCCTCACACCATTTCCCCAACTTTTCTTCTTATTTCTCTCACGCTTATTGTCTGTCTCGGAACTTTTCTTTTCTTTTTCCTAAATTTTTATTTTTCCCATAGCCTGGGACCCATGGTTCTGTGTCTTTTGGTTTTCTTTGGATGCCTAACCGCCATTTGGTCGTTTAGCATTCGCATTCCGTTTCTAGCATTAATTAAAATTATACAGAATTGCTTCAGGGGCATTCAAAAAGGGGATTCCCAGGAAAGGACAGGACACGAGCCCAGAGACTGAGTTGGGAGGGGGGCAGGATAAAAAGGATGTTCTCATAAATTAAAGGCGCTTATGAATTTTATAAATTATTTTCCATGTTGCGGGCGGGGTGGGGTGGAAAATATGAACAATTGCTGGTGGAAATGAGTGGGAAAAGGCAAGGAAAGTGCTTAGACTGCATAGGAAGGATATTTTACACTTAAAAAAATCAAATAAAAATTAAAAATAGACTTCTTATAATGCTTAATTTATTCTAGCAAATAAAATATTCTGTAAATTAATTTATTTCCTATTATTTTTTAATAAAACAACCATTAAGAGCAGACATTGTAGGGCCTAAGCGCCTGAAAGTAGGCAGCTTTTATTGAATTTCATTAACATGTGAACTGGTCTTACTCTCACTTCCAAAGGGGGGTTTTAGTGCAATCATTTGCATGTATGTCTGTGCATGTTTAACTCCATGTCATCCCCCCCTCGCAATGAACTCACTTAATTTTATGCCAAAACAATGACACGCCATAAATTTAAACGGATTTGGCGTTTCGCCCGCGGACTCCAAAAAGAAAAACGATGAAGAACAGCCACCCTTAGACAGGGGCGGTCTTCCCCCAAGGGGTATGGAGGATGGAGAATGGGTGGTGCTTACCACCCGACACTTTCGAACAAGTTTTAATGCCAAAGAATATGCTAAAATCGCACAGGTAAACAGCGAACGCCCTTCAGGTGTTTGGAAATTCAACAAAAATGCATACATTTTTCTTCTTTTTTTCGAAAAAAACACACGTCAAGTTTTTGGGGAGAAAGTGGGTGCTAAAATGGTAAACAAAAGCTTTCTTTTAGTTTAGGAATATATTAAAATCTTTGATTAAATTTTAAACATTTATAAGAGTTTTTTAGAAAAAGACTCTTGAAAAGGTTTGGGTTTGATTTAAGTATATTAGCATTAAAAGTTAGCATATTTTTCAATAAAAAAAATATTAAATATATGAATAAAAAATACTATTTAAAACTAATTTTTAATTTTCTAAGTATTTGAAGAATTTTAAAGTCTTTCTAGGTCTTTCTAAAAGTTTGAACTTCAAACCGCAGCTTCAAAGTTTTAGTTGAAAATTGTTTTTCAAAAAATATATAGCCTATTTATGATCTAAAACCTATAGCTATATATGATTAAAAAATAGTACATTCTTTTTTAAAAAAAACAAGAAAGGAAAGCTAACTTCGGGCGGAGCCGAAGTTTATATACCCTTGCAGTTAAAACCGGATATATATCGCAAACATCGGATATAGTTGGCCGATCCTTATGGGAATAGGAATATATAATCCTATTTATTTCAATACAAAATCTAAAAAAAGACCCAAACTTCTATCTTCAAAAATACGAAAGTTGATATTTCTACCAAATACCATTTCCGATCGTTCAGTTATATGGCAGCTATGGGATATAGTCGGCCGATCCGGGCCGTTCCGACTTATATACTGCGTGCAAAGGAAAGAAGGGTGTGTGCAAAGTTTCAAGACGATAGCTTTAAAACTGAGAGACTAGTTCGCGTAGAAACAGACAGACAGACAGACAGACGGACAGACAGACGGACAGACAGACGGACAGACGGACAGACGGACAGACGGACAGACGGACAGACGGACATGCTCATATCAACTCAGGAGGTGATCCTGATCAAGAATATATATACTTTATAGGGTCGGAGATGTCTCCTTCACTGCGTTGCACACTTTTGACCAAAATTATAATACCCTCTGCAAGGGTATAAAAAGGTATGCAAGTTCCTTTTAAAATTCGAACTCTTAACTTCCACTTTAAAGCCCTAGTGGGCTATAGAGCTTGTTTTTTTTTTGAAAATTGCGTGCCAAGAAATATATAGCCTGAACTTAAAATAGAGAAATTGCAAAATGGAGAAACTTGAAAGGAGAAAAATCGAGAAAGCTAGTAAAGGAGACGGCTAAAGAAGTAGAATGTGAAGAATGGGTAGGAAAGTAACCAGGAAAAGCGATTCTGTCAGTCAATTTCAATGTTAATCCACCTGAGTTTTGTTGGAAAACTAAAGGAAAAGCCATGACTTCCAGAGGTTGGGTAGAGGAATGTGTGTATGTTCTGATATTGATATGGCAGTTGCACGCACAACAACCTGCCCCTCCCCCCCACCCCAACCTCCCCCTTCAATTTCCCCCCTTTAACAGTTACATTATTTAGCCTTAGCCCAGAGCTCCCCACGCCGGGTGAGTCATCTTCATTGGCAATGCGAGAACGTTGTTACCCGTCCCAGTGGACATCATTTTCATTAAAATTTTAATAGACTCCCCCCCTCCCTCACTGGTAGCCCTTGTTGGGCTCCAACTGTGTGTTACACGTAATATTATAAATTTAAGATCTTATGGAGTTAACTAAAGTGCCCTTAGTTAGGGGGGGAATATATACATAGGTGTAGGAAAAAAAATTACCCTAAAATTTTCAAGATTTAATATTAAGAGATAATAATATTAAGAACATTTTAAGATCAATATTATTATTAATTAAATTTCATGTGAAGTCCCAAGTAGTTATAAGGCTGAAATGCTGTCCATCATAAGGTCTTAGGCTTCCTAAGTTTAAGCCAAACTCTTAAATACATTATTTTAAAGAAAATAAAACTATAAATCTCTTCCA